AAACTCACCTTTTCATTCCTTGCTTAATTTTACGAATACGCTTACGTAGCACCATGTTTGACTGAGGAGGAGAATCAACAATGTCTTCAGATGTACCAGCATCAAAGCTTTTACCATGAGGAGGAGAATCTAGGCACGTGTATGGTTTGCTACTTGATGAACCAGTAGCTACAACAAAGATTTTAATGAGTATTACGATAAGATTTTAGAACAGGTATACGTCTTACACTACAGGAAACTTAGTAATAAATTAATGTGTAACACATCCAAAAGAAAAAAAAATATATTTTCTTGCCTTCTACACAGTCGCTACTTCAAATAACATCTGAATTAGAATGCTCAGTATGGTTGCAATTCTCAAGCTCAAAATCACAATAGTATCTGTACTAGATCACGCAACTACACTGAATACTAAACTAGCTCATTGACAGTATACAAAACAGCAAGACTTAAAAGTAGTTCTCAAAAAATTATCTTGCTTTTCTTTTTTAAGACAGAGAAATAAAGACACCTCACTGAGTAATCAAATTTCATTTATCACACTAGGAAACAACGTTCTAAAAGAATTTGCACTTACATGAGACGGAAGTGAAGTCCAGAAATTTTGTTTCAAAGTACGCAATTTCTGGAAGTGTAGGTTCTATGTATTCCTTGAAGTACTCCATAGCCATTGTTGAGAGATCAAATAGTTCATCTGTTACTTTATAGGGAGAGGCCAATGGAACTGGAGTCACTTTAATATATTTCAGAACCCTGTAGACCTCATCCAAAATCTAAAAATAGAAAAATCCACAACTTTCATTTAACATTTTAAGTCGCTTTTCCTACAATGGACTCCACTGAAATGAGTACTTTCTACATATCGTAATTCACTGATTAATTGTACATCTTATTTCTTTATATAGCCTTCTCGGACAATATTAAAATTAACAAAAACTAAACATGACTGAACTGACCTCTCCAGCAAAAAAACAACAGTGTCTTCGTTCGATGTGTTTGCCAAAGGTCATCTGAAGTAGAGTGAGCCGCATATGAAGAGTTTCAATTATGTCTGATTCACAAGCAAGAGGATGTGTGCGACGTGCCGACTCACGACGAGGCATTTTGGCCTTAATACTTTGAAATCTGTTCAGCATTTGAGTCTGAAGACGTTGAAAAGTTGTATTAAGGATAGTGCAACATACACTGTCCACTTTCCGGCAAACCTGAAAAGCAAAGACATTAATTTTTCATATGGGTATTTAGGAATCGCGTAACAAATATCACATTATATATACAAGGCAGACACAGTCCCCGCAAGGCAGACACAGTCCCCCCCAAGGCAGACACAGTCCCCTCCAAGGCAGATAGACACACAATACATGACAAAGGTTCATAATACAATGGATGTGGAAAATTTTGCAAATCATGTCCTGAGGCAAATTGAATTATGGGCAAAGGAAAACCAAATAAAACTCAATGATTCAACGTCATCACAAGTTGTTCTTATATCCAAAAAGAGAAAAATACCAGATAGAGTTCATATCTACCTTAATGATAAAGTTCTTAAGCAAGTGGATGTGTTAAAATACTTAGGAATTTATGTAGATCAGAAATTCCACTTCAATAAACTAATTGGTTACATTCAGGAAAAAGCTCTGATACTTGTTCATGTTATCAAGATCTGCTAAGTTGAATTGGGTTCTAAGATCCAAGTCACTAATTACAATTTACCAAGGAGCAATTGAACCAATCCTAAAATATGTAGCACCAGTTTGGGAAGAAACCATAAAATATTCCAAAGAAAGTAAAGCAGTTTCAGAGAATTCAGGCGTAGATTAATATTAAGATTTCTAAAGCACACAAGACCATCTTACAATGCCTCTTGTATTGATTCTGGTACGCAATCTATAGGCAAAACAACTTAAACAAAAATCAAGATGTACACAGAAACTCATTAAGAAATAGTATAGTTGGAAAAGCCACGCGAACTGAAAAATTTGAGATATCCAGCAGAAACGATATCTATTAAAGAAGTAACAGATAGCATGACTTTCAGTATACAAATGGAAGTAAGGCAGGTTATAGGGTGGGGGCAGAAGCAGTCATATTTCAAGAAGTTTTCGAGAAAATTTGGAAAATGTCCATAGGGCATTATGTAAAGTACCCTCAAATTTAAATTCTTTTGTTCTTCAAAATCTTAAAGATTTGAATTGAGCCCGATCGACACCGGTTTCTTCAATTTGGAATAATACTCCATTTTAACGACTCTTCCTTCCCAAATATTCCTTCTTGCACTTCCTGGTCTCCATTTCCACTCAATACTTTCATGTAACATGACACGTTGCCACAGCAATTGCCTCTGCGATCAAATCAGGGATTTCAACGAAATTGAGACCTACACCATTCTCTGACGAGTACTTCACGCTAACCGAGGACCAAGTTAACTAAAAATGAAGTATAGTCTAAAGTGCTCCCACCAATCAAAATACCCGTTTATAAACTCAAGTGGGCATCGAATTTTCAATCGATCAGCGAATATCAAATTTGGAAACAAATCTGTGGAACAGAGCGACACACACACACACACACACACACACACACACACACACACACAGCGACAC